GCTCTAATTATCCTGTAAAAACGATTGAATTTAATAGCACTCTTCAATTTCCATGAAGTCTTTTTGCCTATGTAACACCGTGACATAAAAGGACCCTAAAGTTGTATTTGCTGCTCTCTTCTTCTAATTTCCTGTGAATGATGCTATCCAATTAAGATATTGTATAAACGGGTTTTGTAGAGCTTTCGACGAGCTATCTGTTGGTAAAAAAAAATTTTCATAGCACCTCTTATTCGTACAAAAAAATCAAAATACAAACGTAACGCCGTGACATTTTTCGTAACGTTGTGACACGTTTTTTGTTTAATTTCATATTAGCTTTTTATCTAACTAAAACTCACTCCAAAATACCGCCTATATGCTCAAAAAACACATTTCACTTCTATTATTTTAATAGATTGTGTAAGCGCCTGAGACATTATCTTTCAACTTTATGAAATTGCAACGGTATTGCTATGATAGGCTACATTTACGATGTAAAAAAGATCTTTCTCATTAATCCTTATTATTATTTATTAACAATACTTCTGTTAACAATTAGAAATTCTGAAGTATAATGAGAGGCTCTTGGCCACTAGAAATCAAGGGCATATTGCCTCAAAAACTAGTGTGTCTCCAGCTCGGGACGAAGACCCGGCCTCTTTTGAGCTGGGTGTATTTTTTTTTCTTTTTCTTTTTCTATGTGCCTATATAATAAAATTCGTTCCACTGTTTTTCTCTCATTTCGACAAGTGTTTTAAACGAAACGCTAGATTAGAGATGAAACTTTCTTTACTTATATCGATTCTATATACATATGTACAAAAACTATTTAAAAAAAACAATCAAAATATAATGCTATAGTATATAAATGTAAATCCAATTAATATTTTACAATTCGTTTACGAGAAGCCATAGAATAATAACGAAACTCTAGTTCATCTTTATCAACCACTACAACTGAATGCATTTTTAACGTTTCTGGAATTGATTTTGCTGTTTTGAAAATATTTTCAAGTTCAACTTTCGAACGATCGATTGCGTCTGCTGTAATTTCAATCAAAATTATTTTTTTTAGTTTTTTTCTTTGCAATTTTAANGAAAGCGAACGAGAACGACGAGCGAAAATGAACAGACGGACGAACGACAAAACGAAAGAATTGACCGTTCTGTGTGATAATGGAGCACGATTATATTCACCGGCATGTCCAAACGTAACGTTGTGACGTTTTTGACATAATGTTCATTAATTATCTCGAAAACTAAAAACGCGACAGAGCTCGTTCACACGTCATTCGATGCAACTCGTTGTGCTCTAATTATCCTGAAAAAAAGATTGAATTTAATAGAACTCTTCAATTCCCACGAAGATTTTTTGTCTATGTAACACCGTGACATAAAAGGACCCTAAAGTTGTATTTGTTGTTCTCTTCTTCTAATTTCCTGCGAATGATGCTATCCGATTAAGATGTTGTATAGACGGGTTTTGTAGAGCTTTTGACGAGCTATCTGCTGGTAAAAAAAAAAATTTTCATAGCACCTCCTATTCGTACAAAAAAGTCAAAATACAAACGTAACGCCGTGACATTTTTCGTAACGTTGTGACACGTTTTTTGTTTAATTTCATATTAGCTTTTTATCTAACTAAGACTCACTCGAATATACCGTCTATATGCTCAAAAAACGCATTTCACTTCTATTATTTTAATAGATTATATAAGCGCCTGAGAAAGTATCTTTCAACTTTATGAAATTGCAACGGTATTGCTATGATAGGCTACATTTACGATGTAAAAAAGATCTTTGTCATTAATCCTTATTTTTATTTACTAACGATACTTCTGTCAACAATTAGAAATTCTGAAGTATAATGAGAGGCTCTTGGCCACTAGAAATCAAGTGCATATTGCCTCGAAAACTAGTGTTTCTCCAGCTCGGGACGAAGACCCGGCCTCTTTTGAGCTGGGTGTATTTTTTTTTGTTTTTTTTTCTTTTTCTATGTACCTATATAATAAAATTTGTTCTACTGTTTTATTCGTATTTCGACAAGTGTTTTAAACGAAACGCTAGATTAGAGATGAAATTTTCTTTACTTATATCGATTCTATATACATCTGTACAAAAACTAATAAAAAACCAATCAAAATATAATGCTATAGTATATAAATGTAAATTCAATTAATATTTTACAATTCGTTTACGAGAAGCCATAGAATAATAACGAAACTCTAGTTCATCTTTATCAACCACTACAACTGAATGCATTTTTAATGTTTCTGGAGTTGATTTTGCTGTTTTGAAAATATTTTCAAGTTCAACTTTCGAACGATCGATTGCATCTGCTGTAATTTCAATAAAAATTATTTTTTTAGTTTTTTTCTTTGCAATTTTAACAAAATCCTCGGCCGTTCGACACACTTCTCCTGCCAAAACAGCTGACCATACAAGACGCTTTGCACTCCCTCCAATACCATCAACAACACCTTTACCATGAGCAGTAGCAAAAAAATTCCAACTTAGACTGATGTTATATTTATTAGCAATTCGTGTTAGATTTCGAAAATGGAAACGTTGTTTAAATTGAGAAGCAGCACCATCAGAAAAACAATTGATTTCTTTTATATTTGGAAGTTTTGTTGCAATGTGATTCAAAATGATTGCTAAAGCAGCATCAACAACAAATTTATCATGTGTTAGATCCAATGATGGTAAAGCAAATGAAAAATTTTCACTCTTAGACCAAACAAAAGCCGTGAATATACTCAACGATTTACTATTCCAATGAGCGCTTTGAACTTCATCTTGCTCTTTCATATTGAAATTTTCTGAAAAATCGACTTGTAGAACAATCTTTTCGTCAGTTACATCAGCCTTCAACTTTTCGAAATAATTTGACTGTTCTCGTTTTATATACACATGATACAAAAACTGTTCAACTTTTGATTTCAACAACAAAGCTGCTTCACCAACGCTTCCTGAAAACTCTCTTTTCTCGGCACGACCATTTTCATTCGCCCATTGTGACCAAGTAATTTGAGCACCTCCATGAGAAACATTTTCCAAAATCTTCTCGTCAAAAAATCCTTCACAAAGAGAACAACTACTAAACATGCATTCTTCATTATTGCTACTACAAACCAAACAATTAACGAAATTGTCCAACGATGAACAATATTTTCCATCAACATATTTATCAAGAGATTTCAAAAGTAGACAAATGTTTTCGTGATACAAACATAGACAATTTCGATGTGCCAAAGCAGCTTTCAAAACAACAAAAGAAGGTCGCAAAGCAGCAAATGATGAACGACTGAGACTAATATTAGGATTTTCCTCTTTGAATAATTCGTAATTTTCTCGTAAACTATTTAACAAAATTCGTTTCTGATAAGTTACTTTGCTACCATCACTCTCTTTAATAACAATTGAATCTTTCTTACCTGGAAGTTGATATGAAACGTCATCTCGTAGATAAAAATTGTGAACGGCATTTTTCAATTGATCAGTAAGTTGAAGGCTTATTCGTTGATGTGTGGATTTAGGAAGTAAACCAAATTTTTCGGCAAGATGTTGAACGATAATTTTCTTTTTCTGGTCGCATTTTGGAAGAGATGAATTGACTTTTTTCATTGATTTGCCAAATGATTGACGACTTTTAAATGACGATGAGGATGGATTATTGAGCCAATGCTTTTTTTTATTTTCACGACATTTTTGTTGACGAATTTTGTTGTTGTTGCGAAATTCGGCCAAACCAGCTCTAGTTAGTTTTGCTTTATTTGATTGGTATCGATGACGAGACTTTGCTTTGACTTCTTCATGTTTAACTTTATTTTGTTTTAATTTTTCTCGATATTTTTTCATTCTTTCAGCATTTGTCATAGCCATGGTAGAGTTAAGGAAGTAAGAAAAATACTGATGTTAAATAGGAATAAATTTATTTTAAGATAAAAATGTGTAATAAAACAGTTAAAGTTTCTCCAATTAGTTCATTTCGTATAAGATGAAATTGATCGAATTCTGTTTTCTTTCTCTATTTATATATCTCCCATAGACCAATCATAATAGCGAGAGGAAAGGAAAAAACAGTTAGTGGTTTAATTTTCAAAGTTTGTCAGCCGTCTATATCATTCAAATCAATCGTTCAACGTGTTTCATTTTCCTTCCGGACGACACTGTTGCCGACATAAAGTATAGAAAGTACTATCCTATATAGTACTTCATGTTGAAGCTATATAGGTCAACATAATGTAAACAAATAAAAAAGATTTATATGTCAAATAACAAAATCGAAGAAACAGTTTGAAGATTATTTGTCATCGAATGCATAAAATAAAGGTTGAAAACCAGCTAAAATCTTGTTTCGTGTATATTCCATGCCGGTAATATTGAAAAAAAAACATCCGAAAAGCATTCCAGCCATGGCTTAAAAAATTAAGTTTTTGTCACAGCGTTACGTTTAGCTTTTTTTTGAAGGGTTATTTTCGAGCAGAAAAGTAGTTCATTGGAATCACCGTGAAAAGTTAGCAATAGTCCACTAGTTTGTTTACCAGTATTTTCTAATTGGGTGCTGAAAATTTTAAAATTCGATCTTTTCGTAACGCCGTGACAGTGAAGTTGATCAAGTATTGTTCCAATGATATCTTGGCTTCAAGAAAAGACCAGAAGTTGGTTCTTTTGCGATAACAAAGGTCTCACTTCGTATGTTAAAAAACATTGACTAACTCACCTATACAACTCATTCTCTATGTGTTTGATGAATTTCAAAGTGTAAGACAAAAATGTGCTATTAATGATGTGATGAATAGGACTTCTTATGTGTGCTTGTCAAGATCAAGAATCATACTCTTTTCAAAAACAAAGCACATTTTCTGACACTTTCGAACATGTTCTAAAACATGGTATATATGCTCTCTTTCAACTTTGAATAAAATACTTAATGGCCGAAGTAGCGCGTTGCGTGGACAAGCCC